CCATGTCCCTCCCTCAGCATCTGTTGTTTTTCTATAAAACTGGGGGAGGAAGGCAGGAGGATGGGCCTGCTCCTTGCTAGGCCTTCTAGGAGCATCCATGGGCACCAGCCATGCGGGTGTGCCTCCCTGCACGCCCAGCCTAGCTCTTTCCTGTTGCTGTGATACACACTGACCAAAACCTACTAGGGGAGAAGGGGGCTAAACTTGTACTTCACAGTCCGTCAGTCAGGGAAGTTGGGGCAGGAACTCAGAACGGGAGCCTGGAAGCGGGAACTGAAGCAGAGGCCATGGAGGATCCCCCTTGCTGGCTTGCTCCCCATGGCTTGCTCTGATTACTTCCTTGTATACATACCCTAGAAGAACTCCTGCCTAGGGATGGCGCCACCCGTGGTGGGCTGGACACTCTCACATCATTTTCTCTGCTGAGGGTTCCTCTTCCCGGATGACCCTAGATTGCGTCAAGTTGGGAAGAAGTAAAACTAAAGACCAGCCAGCACACAGGTGTCCCTCTGCTGTGGGCAAACCTTCCTGACCCATCGCCACCCCCTTGCTGCAACCAGCTCTGCACCCCACATTCACCCTGGGATTGCATCCGCATCAAGGTGTTTCCGACTCACGGCACAAGTGGCCTCTCATGTGTCTGCTACCCCTCTGCAAACACCTGCTCCAGACCCTTGACTCTTAATGTTTCAGCCATTCAGAAGGTGATTCCCCTCTGAATCTACCTCACATTCTGCAGTGGAGAAAGAGTAGGGGTGGAGATAGGGACCCTCAACAGGGTTGAAGTTATCAGGGAACCAACAACAGAGGCATGTCCTAGCAGGATAAGACCCTAGAATGAATAGCATGGAGCTCTCTATTGTCTCAAAAGCTGAAGTGGGCAGAGGCAGGCGGATCTCTGTGAGTTCAAGGCCAGCCTGGTCTACAGAGCGAGTTCCAGGACAGCCAGGACTGTTTCACAGAGAAACCCAGTCTCAAAAAACAAAAACAAACAAACAAAGAAAGCTGAAGCGGCTAAAAGGACCCAAGTGCCTGTAGATTTCCATAGCCCATCAGAGCATCCTTCACATGCCCTCACACCCCAAGCTCACGCAGTGTCTCCCCTCCAGCAGGAACCAGGCACCGGTCAGACACAGCTCTGCCATGGCACCTCTTGCAAACCTTCTGGCCCTTGTGTTCCAGTTTTCCTCAGGTGGCCTGAGAAGACCCACCCTCAGTTAACTATCTGGGGTAACTTTGTAACTGAAAAAGAGCAGCAGGCACTTGGACATTTTTGGCCTCCCTTCCTGTCTCCCATCCCTGGGGGATGCAGGGAACAGGACTCCTGTCTACTCACAAGACCCTGCTCTCCCATCTGGTCTTCTCTCTCAGATTTTCTCCCCATGACACCACACACACACTCACACACACACACACACACACACACACACCATGACACCACACACACACACACACTCACACACACACAACATGACACCACACACACACACCATGACACCACACACACACACTCACACACACACCATGACACCACACACTCACACACACACACTCACACACACACAACATGACACCACACACACACACTCACACACACACCATGACACCACACACACACACTCACACACACACACCATGATACCACACACACACACACACTCACACACACCATAACACCATACACACACACACACACAACACACACACACCTTGGGGAATATTTGGGACTAAACCAAACCCAAGGAGCAAGCTGCCTGCAATCCCACAGACACAACAGAGGTTCCACAGCAGTGGGAGAGAGATTTGTCCCGTGTTTGAAAGAATGTAAAGGGAGGCACAAATCTCAGGCTTCACACCACTGACTTTATGGGTTTTTATCTTCTCTGTAGTGTTAGTCCACAATTAAGCATGGCTAACACATGTCAGCTTATGAATTTTTAGTCCCAGTTCACTGCAACCAGAAAGACACTGTGGTCAGGGTTTATATCTCTTCCCCCTTCACCTCTTTTGGCCCCTCCCCAGCTGAGGAGTAGTTGGAGCATAGAGAGAGTATGAGAGTGAGATCTTGCTCACCCTAAGCTGCCAAGGTAATCTAGCATCCTGGACACTTATCGGGTATCATCGCTCCTTTTCCATGACTGTCACCTCCAGTGTCACCCTATACCCTCACATACACATCACTGAGATGCCAGAGCCCACCTTCCTTCCTGTCATCTCTCCTTTGATGGTCACCCTTTGTGTCTTCCTTGCAGATGTTATGATGGCTTCCTTGAAGATGTTATGATGGGTGGAGTTGGGGACCTCACCTCCAACTCCACCCATCTTCACAGAGGCTGATGTGAGCTTTCTAAAACTTTTTTTGTTTTGTTTTGGTGTTTTTGTTTGTTTGTTTGTTTGTTTGTTTTGCTTTTCGAGACAGGGCTTCTCTTTGTAGACCAGGCTGGCCTCGAACTCATAGAGATCCGACTGCCTCTGCCTCCCGAGTGCTGGGATTAAAGGCGTGCGCCACCAACACCCGGCTTCTAAAACATTTTTAATCACTCCTTTCAACAACATTAAGTCCTTTCTTTTCTTCTCAGGTCCCTCAACATATCAGAATTTTCCAGAATGAAGTGTCAATCCTGTTACTCCCCAGTGAGGCCTTCTCCAGCCTTGTGACCCTCTCCCAACTTCTTTTATTCTCTCACCCCTGGGCCTTAGCACGTGCTCTCAAAGTCCTGGACACCATCTACAGTGCGCACCCCTAGCACTTAGTACAGAGAAATGTAGTATGCATAGCAAACAGATGGATGAAAATGAGGGAAGGGAAGCGAAAAATAGCCCATGGAATTGTAGAATCTTTCCCATTTTATTTATTTATCTGTGATGCTTCAGATTGAACCAAGGGCCTTGCCCAGGCTAGGCAAATCACTGGGTTATCTCCCTAGTCCAACTCTTGTAAGAAAGGAACAGAACCAAAGAGGTGAGGTAACTCAGCCAAGCTCACACAGAGACTACCCCACGTCCCATCAGAAGAACCCAGGAAGATGCAAAACAGAACAATGAGAACCCAGGATGAGTCCAGCCAGCAGGGAGCAGTGGTCAGTAATGGGGCCTGGAGGAGGAAAACTCTGAAGGCTAGCAGCTTCAGTTAAACACTTACAGCCCCCACGGCTCCAGGCCTAGCCTGTGGCTTCTCTGGACACCAAGGACCATTTCTCTAACGCCCAGGCTCTAGAGGGGAGAACAGAGATAGCCGTGTGATGTCAGCAGCCATTCATACAGTCCTACCCACATGTGCCAGAGGTCAGGGTGCCAGACCAAGGCAGAAGGAAGCAGTGGCTGGTAGGTAAGCGTTTTTTTATAAGAATATATCAGCTGGACTGGTGGGATGGCTTAGCCAGTAAAGAGCTTGTCTTGTAAACACAAGGATCTGAGTTCAAAGCCCAGAATCCGAAAGCACTAAGCACTCGGTGCTCTGAGTGTAATCCCAGTGCAAGAGAGACCGAGAAGGAGAGTCCTTGGGCTTGACTGGCCAGTCTGTCTAGCGTAACTGGTGAGTTTCAGGCCAATGAGAGACGCTGTCTCAAAGAGGGTGGACGACTTTTCTGAGGCAACACCAAGATTGTCTTCCAGCTTCCACACACATGCATACTTGTGTTCACATGTACACACACACACACACACACACACACACACACACACACACACACTTGGGGATGCCCTGTGTTTCTTCACAGGGAATCCCTACTAGGTGGACTAGGATATCCCCACCATTCCTAAGTCAGGGAGCATCTTAACTTTTACTCCTGATCCAGCCCAGAGGGTGTAAAAGTCAGGAGATAGGTGGTCAAAACTAGAGGAGAGCAGCAGACTTGCTTTGCACAGTGTCGGCCCTTCATGGTGGCTGGTCTTTCTTCCTCTTCCTGCTCAACTGGCTCCAGTGTGGATGGACCCCAGGGCAGTGAGGAGGAACTGGAGAGGTAATGAGGATCCAGCAGACATCTGGGGTGCTGACCACATCCTCCCCAACCCTGGCAGCACAAGCACCTTCACTAGGTGCTAATTAAATCCCCCTAATGAGGAAAAACGGATGCAGGAGCCGGCTCCTCCATGGCCTCCCCGGCCCACCGCCCTCGCCTCTCCATCGGACTTATCGCTCGTCACAGGATGTTTACAATAATTTTTAATTTGTGCAATTATTAATCACTTTTCTATCTGCCTCATTTGCATAATAATTAGTCATCTCACTGTTTGGCATGCCTGTGAATGACAGTGTTTTAAATTGAATTAAGATTTTAATATTCTATTTTCCTGCTTTCTTCCCCTCCACACGCTAATCAAAGTCTGATTTGGCAGCTAGAGGGAGGGTACGGAGGAGGTTGGCAGGCGCTGGACTTGGCCCATTCTCTGCCCCTGAGAACCATGCTGGGATCCGGGCCTGCGGAGAAGGCAAGAAGCAGCCACCCTTACCCAAACGTGACGCTGAAGGGGTTAACCCAGCCATGGCTAATTGAGCAGAGGTAATGAGGGAGGAGTGAGTAGGGGCCGGCAGCCGGGAGGGAGGAGGGTCATACAGTCTCAGCGGCACCAGAGATCAAGCAAAGTGCTTTCATTTATTTTCTTTTTCCAAATAGACTGCGTTTTGTAAGGGAACATTAGAGAGGACATTATAGGCCAGTCATTGATCCCTGGTTAGTCCAGGTTAACTTTGATGGTTCCGTGTCCTGGCGGTACAGAAGCAGCCTACAACCCACTTACTGTGCTTCTTTCAGCGTGCAAGACGATTCTCCGTGGCTGACTCTGCTTCTTCTCCCCCCTCTCCACACACCAACAGGTCCTCTGCCCAAGTTGGCTGCCTCGAGGATGAGTGACAGGGAGTGAGGGATTTCCACAGACAGGGAGCAGCAGGCGGGCCACATGTCCCCTAAGTCAGAGTCAGCTGCAGGTCTACAGATCTCTTTGTGATCCTAAGTCCTTCTTCTAACCATGCCAGGAATTCAGCCTCAGCCTGGAGGAGGGCCTGCTTCACCACTGCCTCCCTTTGGAACTGCTGGATTGCCTCTCATGTTGCCATGGTGATCCCTATGGCTACCCAGGATACCCATTACTGCTCCAGAATTCTCTACTTGAGCAGAGCAGCTCTCCCCTCGGCCTGTTTAAAACACCTCCCTTTTTACTATGGTGTGCTGGAGATCTGCAAAAGCCAATGCTGGCCTGTCCGTACAGGTGAGTCGGGGTGGAGAGTGGTTCCATGAGAGTTTCTGGGCAAACAGTACGAAGCCAGGCCATCCATCACAGCCAAGGGGCTGGAAGCCACACCCCAACTCAACCACCAAGCTTTGTCCTCCACACCAAACAAGGGTTTTAACTCTGCACATAGGGACCAAGAGAGGGAACCGCCTCCCTCCCCAAGCCCCCCGGAGGGAAGAAGAGGGTCTTGCCAGAATGGGAGCTAGGCAAGAAGAAAGAGAGCTGGCAATTTAGTGACACCCTTCTCCTCTAAGTGGCCCTGAAGCCCCTGCCTGCAGTCAGAGGGTCAGGTGGCAGAGAGGGCAGCCTGCTTAGGATCCCCCTTTGGCTCAGGAGGTCCCTGAGTACACTGTCCCTCCTACTAGTTCCTCCTAGTTCCAGGAAGGTGCTGGCCTCAGAGCTTGTCAAGCTAGGATCCCACATGCCTAGTGTCTACCTAGAGGGATAGCAATAAGAACCTTCAGGAGTTAGGAAAGGCACAGCCCACTCCAGGATTGACAGAGAAGCTGCGAGAAGCCAGGCCTGGGGCTATGAGCTGTGTCCCCGGCCAAACCAGGTGAAGTACTCAGTCTCTTAGCCCCGCACAGAATAGGGGAAGCAGGCACAGGTAAGCCAGGACACCACTCGGGTACATCAGCCCTCAGAGAAAGCCAGACCTGTGTACAGTCAACTCTAATCAGCAGAGCCCGGTTTCCGAATCCTCCCCCCTGGAATGACAGGAACTTTCAGAGTGGTGGCAAGGCCCATAGCTAGTGCCACAGCAGCCTCTGCTGGCCACCTTTGCCTTCCACAACCGCGCCTACATGAATAGGACAGGAGCCCTCCATCCCGCTATGCTTGAGGTGGTCCTATTGACACCTGTCGGCTCAGCATAATTACTAATGCAGCGCGCTCACTCTCAGAAGTATCCGGGTTCACACATGACTCAGTAGCCTTCAAGCACAGCCAAGTTCCAGGGCCCAGAAAGTCTTCAAGAACCCAGAGAGATAGGTGGAGCATTAAGATCTCCGCCCCGTAAACTGTCCAGAGCCCTCTGTCTTGGGCCAGTACTAAGGCTTCTTGACAGCCCCACCACAAGCAGGAAATCAGATGCTATTGAGTAGGAGGGAGGGGGGCTTGAAGAAGAGCAGAAAGAAAAGGTAGAAGGAACGAGACTGATGCAGTCCCAGAGGGTAGGAAGTGCCCAAGGGTGTGACATGCTATTGCTGCATGTGTCCAGCAGATGGCAACGTGGAGCAGCCCGTATCAGCCTTTTGAAGGGACTGCCTGAGCCAGCCTCCTGGCTTCTGGTTCTCCTTTAATTTTCTTGGTCCACTTTCCCCCAGATGAGTCCTCAGGCTAAACTACAAAATGGCTAGACATTTCATAAGCCTGCGCCTTCCCTCCCCAGGAGAGGGACGGTGGAAGAGAGGCCAGGCGCCTGTAGCTTCAAGGCAGCACGTTTCCCGGAACCCTCTGTCTTGCACCAGCACCTGGGTGACACAAGGCTCCTAGGGAACCCTTTTCCCTTCATCCACCTCAGTCAGGGATTCTGAGTACAGAAGTATAGACCGGTGTGATTTGGGGGAATGTCTCCATGTTCCGTCATTCAGAAAAAAATCATGCAAATTAGCAGCATGATAATGAACAATATCCACGACATCTGGGACCTCGGTATTTGAGGAACACGGCCACAACTACTATTTTATAGAGCTCTATCAGATAGAGAAGTGCGAACCCGGGCTGTCTCAGACAGGTTTCCTGTATGGTTACCATCTTCTGAGTCCCTTTCCCCAGTGGCCAGACTAGGGCAAGTCCCAAAAGGCACAACCTGCATGTAACTAGGGGATGCAGCACACCTTTAATCTCAGCACTATCTGTGAGTTCGAGGCCAGCCTGGTCTACAGAGCGAGTTCCAGGACAGGCTTCAAAACAATACAGAGAAACCCTGTCTTGAAAAAAACCGATAATAATAATAATATCTCCAAATCCCCAGAAGATTTGATGGCTTCAAAGGCCACATTTGCATTTCATTCACAAACCAGCTACTAAGTCTGTAAATTCATACTTGTTGGTTGGTTGGTTGGTTGGTTTTGAGAAGGGGTCTTGCTTTGTATAAAAGGTTGGTCTCAAATTCACAATGTTAGCCCCAGCTGGCCTCGAACTCCTAATGATCCTCCTGCCTCCACCTCCACAAGTGCAGAGATTACAAGCATAGGCCACCACACCCAGGTTGCAAGCTTGCTCTTGCCCGGTTCTTACCTACAAAGAAATCTTACCCTAGCCTCCAGCTGAATTCAACAAATATTTATTAAATGTCTTGTTCAGGCCAGGCTTTGTGCTGGCTGCTGGAGATTGTGGCCTCTGTCTTTAATAAACTCTTAAGTCCAGCAGGCAGAGGAAAACATGAGGTTCACAGTACTACAGAGACCTCTACTAGAGTCAGGAGTATAGCTCATCATAAGAGTGAGCTCCTGCTGCCACTGTGTCAGCAGCGAGGGACCAGGGGACTCTCCAGGAAGGAAATGACATTTGAGCAGGATGCCAAGGAGAGGGAGGAGGGATGGGGAAAGTAGAGGCCTGAAGGTGATGCTCAGCCACGGTGTGCAGTCCAGGGGGTAGTCAGGAGGAGGTGGGGGAGTCGGAGGAGGTACAGGGGGGGGGGAGTCAGGAGGAGGTACGGGGGGGGGGAATCGGGAGGAGGTACCCTGGGGTAGTCAGGAGGAGGTGGGGGAGTTGGAGGAGGTGGGGGGAGTCAGGAAGAGGTGGGGGAGTGGAGAAGAGGTACGGGGGGGGGGAGTCAGGAGGAGGTGGGGGAGTCGGAGGAGGTAGGGGGGGGAGTCAGGAAGAGGTGGGGGACTTGGGAGGAGGTCCCCGGGGGGAGTCAGGAGGAGGTGGGGGAGTCGGGAGGAGGTACACAGGGGGAGTCAGGAGGAGGTGGGGGAGTCGGGAAGAGGTATGGGGGGGAGTCGGGAGGAGGTACCCGGGGGGGAGTCGGGAGGCTGTGATGGCTCTAGAAGGAAGGACACTGGATGTGTCCTGTACACATCAGGCTTCATCCAGAATCTGTTGTCCACATGACAGTCCTGACCTGGACCATGTCAACAGTCATGCTTCTCTCTCCCTGCTCTCAGGAAAAGCCACAGCCTCATAGCCTCCCTGCCTCTGGGCCTGGCAAAGCCACTCCATAAATATCTGATTGGAAAGTTCAATGTGCTAACTCGACAGTTATGTGACCCACGGCACACAGGACCATCAGTTAGCCTAGCTAACCAGATCACCTCTAAGGAGCTGGAGGGCAAAGCTCTGAATTCACTCAGGTCTCCTCCCCGCCCCCTCCCCAGCCCCCTGGAGTTCCCACTCAGCTGGTTATGAACCCAAGGACCTCACAACCCCCAAATAGGATAAATGTTGTCTTCGGAGTTCCATGAAGCTCTGGAAAGACTCCATCAGAAAGCAAATCCTGTTCCGGGAAGATTAATGTCTTGAGTAGAACTAGGTGATGTAGCCCTGGTACGCAGGGTATTGCCTGTTACCCCAGGTGGCTGCTTGAATGGTCTTTGTCACACTTTCTCTTAATTCACAAGGAAACTTTCCAAACTGTGACTCAGAAGCTGAGTGCTGGCTGGGCACAGTGGTGCCTGCCTAGAACCTTAGCACTTGGGTTAGAAGCAAGAGGATGAGGGGTTCTAGGTCATCCTTGACTAAATAGCAAATTCAAGACCAGGTGAAGGTCCCTGTTGATGCCTGGTATCCACAAGATGGAGGCATAGAACTGATTCTTGTAAGTTTTCCTCTGACCGTACATATGCTTACACACACACACACACACACACACACACACACACACACACATCCTCAAGTGCACACCATAAAATTTTGCTTTAAAAACACTGATTAGGAGCAGGAGGAGCAGGTGATAGTTGGTGCACGCCTTTAATCCCAGCACTGGGGAGGCAGAGGCAGGCGGATCTCTGTGCGCTGAGGCTAGCCTGGTCTACAGAGCTAGTTCCAGGACAGCTAAGGCTGTCACACAGAGAAACCCTGTTTCAAAAGAAAGAAAAAGGTGGGGGGACAGGCAATATAAGCCAGGCATTTGTTGCAAAGACTGACTATTCCTGGGGTCCACATGATGGAGAAAACCGATGCAACACGGCTGTCCTGTGGCCTCCACACATGCGCCTTGACATGCGTGTTCTACATCCCCCCACATGCACAATAATGATAAATAAAATTGAAAATTTGAAAATACCGATTAAACTGTCACAGTGGGAGGTTACACAGAACATACTCTGAGCTTGTAGCCACGCTGGCTCACAAAGGAGTCACAAAAGCATTAGCTCAACTGGAAAATTCAACTAAATAAGAGTTAGCCCATTTTCATAAGCCCTGGGGTGGATAATTCAGACAAATGATGAAGCCCCGGGGAAAGACAACTGAAAATGGCTAGTGTTGCTCCGGAATGAAATACACATCTGTCCCAAGAGGGCTGACAGAGTGGCAGGTGTTCAGATGTTGGCGGGTGGCGCTGCACAGATGCAGGCACTGGGGTCAGTGTGAGGCTGCAGGCCCTCTCCAACTCTGCATCTACCATCAGTGTTACTAACATTGTGATCCCATGCACCAGAGGGGACACTTGAAGCTAGAAAAGAAGCAATGCTTTAGATTTAATGGATGGGGAAGGCTGAGTGAAAAGGAGTCTGGCAAGTCATCTTCCAGCTTCAAGGCTCCTTCTTTGTGGTTGCAGGTTCTGAAAAGGAGTCAGCCACTGGCAAAGCCACCCAGCAGGCAGGATGCAGCTCAGCCCTCTGTCTCAGGACTGCTGGTGGGTGTGCAGGGTGGGCTGCACTGGAAATAAGGACTGGAAAGTCATCTGAGGGGTCAGAGATTAAATGCGCGCTCTCTCTCTCTCTCTCTCATACACACACACACACACAGGACAATCACACACATGCATGCATATTTCACAACACATACACACATGCTCACACCCACCTATGCACCCTGGACAGTCACATACACATACACGCATGCATAATTCTTCAACAGAGAGAGACTCACAGTTGGACTTGAGGTTAGTAACGGCCTGATTATTTCCACCGTCACCCATTCCCCTAGGTGCTGGTGGTAACAGGCTATTATGGGGGATGCAGCTGCCTCCTGCTCCTCTCCCTAAGCCAGTGGACTTCCCATAGAGAAGGTCCATGACATCCTAAGACACTAACCTCAGAGCCAATGCCTGTGTGTCACTCAGGAGCTGGGGAACAGAGGAGAGTCATCATGTATGCTCTGTGACTGCGGATGGCTGTCCTCTGGCCATCTCTCTACCTGGAATCCACCTCTTCAACCGTTCTTTATTCCCAAAATTCCTTCCCTCCCTTTAATGCTGGCAGAGAAGGACACAGGTTTTGTTCTGTCCCCACAGGCCTCTCATTACTAGGCACCTATAACAACTGCAGCTGCCCACATCCTGGCAGATAAAAGCCTAAAGCATCCGTCTCGGTCTGCCAGATACTCTCCCACTCCCCCTCTCTGCCTACTCCACTTGACACCCGCCAGTTAAAAATGTCCTTCTTTACCAGCTAAAAGCTGTCTGCCCTCTCCCGGTCTCCCTTGGACCTCCGACACCTGACCTGCCACTTGTCTGATACCTGACGACAAAAATCAGCCCAGAGACCCATCTTTCCTTCCTGTCCCTGTGGAGCTAGAATGGCCTTGTCAAGGTCCCGGAGTGTAGACGTGCAACTTTGATGAAAGCAAGGAACAGAATCCCTGATGTGGCTCCCCCTAGTTATTATGTTTCTAAACACTGTTCTCTTTTCTCTACCCCTTAGGAGACATGGACACCACCGTGCCTGCCCCACACCCATTGAAAGGGAGTCTCCCTTGACTCTCCAGGAGTTCACTGTCAGCCATCCTTACTGTAAGCCACCCATTCTCAACAGCCACAACATTCAAAGCCAAAAGAAAGAACCCAAACAGCCCTGGAATGTTTATGAACAACTGCTTTTGCAGCTTGGGATGTAGCTGAGTTTTTAAAGGGAGTTCCTAGAGAGCACTAGGCACTGGGCTACATTTGCTGAATAAACAGGGTGTGGGGTGCATGCCTGTAAGCCCATCACTTGGGAGACCGAAGCAGGAAGATCAGGAACTTAAGGCTGTCTTTAACTATGTAGGGAATTCTTGTCTAACCTGAGCTGCGTAAGGTTCTCTCAAAAGAAAATGAAAAAGGGAAGGGAGGGAGGAAGGGAAGGAGGGAGGGAGGAAGAAAGGAAGGAAGGAAGGAAGGAAGCTGCCTTTGCCATGTGTCCCTAAATGCATAGTCATCCCCATTCTACTCCAACTCTTCCCCTCAAGTTCTCACCCTGCTCCAGTCTCAAATAAATAACATTGGGCCCCATCAGAACACAACACCCATGCCTTCCTCTTCCCTTGGTGAGCGATGGGTAGCTGACATCTACCTATATATAGGTAGGAGGGCTAAGATGGTCCTTGGTTCTTTTCCCTACTCTAGACATTCTCTCTCCTGGGAACAAAAGATCCTACTTGCTTGACAACTCTTCCAGTTCTAGCCAACAAGACAGTATCCCTGGTGTTCAGGTAAACTTGAGGACTCCAATCAAGTCACCAGTGCAGCACTGTCTAGAAAGATTGTAACCACTTAGGAAACTGCTACACACTTACTACATGCCAAGCACATTGTCAAGTCCTTAGTTCAGATCTCCTCTGGAGCCCATAAACGGGTCTGTTTTTTGCTGATTTTGCAAGGACATTGTAGTTTAGACAAGTAATTTTCTAGTGTACACTGGGAAGTGTTTACTCTAGGAGACTGACACCACCACCAACACACACACACACACACACACACACACACACACACACACACACACTTCCCCTACTTATCCCCCACAATGACTCCTCTGACCAAGTGAACCTCCCAGCAGAAGCAACAGCAACTCAAGGACGTTCTCCTGAAGCTGGAAGAGGAGGAAATAACCCCAACAGATGTTAAATACCGCCTGCAGCCACTTGAGGCTGTATTCCAGAAAGAGAGGTTAAGTGGACACAGTCAGTACATCAAGCCTGGATGGAGCCTGGTCAGTAAACCCCACAGAGAATGGTTCAAGGCCTGGAAGATGGAGGATGGGACATACCAGGGACAGAAACCCTCCCATTTAGGTGAGAGTTAAGTAGGGAGCGTGGAGTGGAGGATGACATTAGTGTAAAGCAAAATCTGAACCTTCTGTCCCAGGACACCTTGTTTAGCCCTATCCAGGAGCATTCCTGCCCCCTGACAGGCCCCAGGGGTGGAATACAGTACAGGGAGGAGGCTTGGTTCTTCAGTAGCCCTTCAGGCATTGTCTGGCTACGAGGTCAGCCAGGATCACTCCGGGGTATGCAATGCTGCCTACCTCATGGCAGCCTTCCCTCCTTCCTCCTTTGGCTAGGCCTGATGACGGCACTGCAGGCCACACTTTCAAAACAAAGGGATGGGTTGAGGCTGAGATGTAGTCCACAGACTGTCTAGCATGCATGAAGCGCTGGGTTTGAGCTCCATTGCGGCATAAAGCAGGCATGGTGATGCATATCCATAACCTCAACACTTGAGAGGTAGAAGCCAGAGGTCAGAAGTTCAAGGCCATCCTCAGCTCCACACATAATACTTCCAGGTCACATTCAGGGCAAAAGAACAGCACCAAGAGGACATCTGAACCATGTGGAGTTCGTCAGCCAGGATCAGAACAACGCCCAAGGCCTAGTGTGGCGTCAAGTCCTCCCACCTGATCTAGACAAGAACAGTCAGGGGATCTTGTGAGTAGCCAGAACGGAGAGCAAGCTTGCCCGCAGGAGGCAGGGCTCTGTGGGTGCGAGAAGGGCAAGAAGGGGCCTCTTCCCAAGGGCTGGATAACAGTAAAAGTCCACCATTTGTCACCCCAGAGAAACAGCTGTCAAGCTGTCAAGCCGTAGAGCAAAGGGCTCGTTCTCAGGAATCTTTGACTTTCCTCTAGCTCAGCTTTGACTTGACTTTTGCTTCACCTGAGATTTGGGCAAGGACAAACTGGCATGGGAGCAGGGGTCCTAATTCAGGGTCAGCCCCGTCCCCTGTGCACTGGGAAGATCCAGGCTTGCCAGTCTCATGGGAATACAAAGTATTTTTGTCTTGCCCTTTTCTGGCCCAGACAGCCCTATAGCTCACCTCTACCCAGTTAGGAAGCCCAGCTTGAACCCAAAGACACTCACTACCTTGTGCTTTACAAATGTCCCACAGCTCTAGGTTGAAGAGACGACGTACTCCTCGAAGTGACCCATGAATCAGCCTAGTGACACAAAAAGCTATATACTCCGCCAGCAAACAAAGCTCTCTTTTCACCGAACCCCCTTCTCTAAGCTGCAGCCCCTAGGAGGTTTCTAGTAGGCTCCCTGTGGTCCTATCCTGTGGCAGCAGGTGTCTTGTCTTCTCTGCTAAGACACAGCATGATAACTGAGGGATCCGAGAAAGAAACAGATAAAACAAATTTAAATTTTCCTTCCCAGAGAAGCAATAAAGAAATTTCCCTTTGAAGGTACCCAAAAATATATTGTTTCATGTAGGCAACCCCACAAATGAAAGGCAAGGAGGCAAGCCCATGCCACAGGGCCCCTTCTGTTTGGGTCACCTGGGGCGGCTCTGAGGGAGAGGTCACTACCAGTAGAATCTTTTGTTCCCCATGCAGCCAATCCACACAGCGAGTGTCAAGGGAAATGGTACCCGGCGGGCCCATGACCCGTGCACACCAGGAGCTGAGCCAGACAAGGCAGGGGATAGCCATTGTGGGGACAAAGAGTACTGCCAAGTATGAGGAAGCCACAGCATCCAGGGTAAAGTGCCCAAGCTTCCGTCAAGAGGTAGCAGGGCAGGGGTGTGGCTCAGCTGGCAGAGTGCTTCCTTAACAGGCGTGGAGTCCAGGTTTGATGTCCAGCACCTTATAAGCTGGGTGCAGTGGTGCGTGTCCATAGTCTCAGCACTTGGAAGGAGGGTCGGAAGGTCAAGGTCATCCTTCGATACATATTGGTTTGCTCAAGATACATAATATCCTGTTTGGGGAGGTGGGGAGAAGGTCCTAATCCTTCCTTAAGGGAACAGAGAACAATAGAGCCTAACGCCACTTTAAATATCTTGGGAAATTCTGAAATATGGCCTTCCCTACTCTATACTCCATGCTGCCAGGCAACAGAAGCACGAAACAGTTAAAGCTGTCACTCTTTCCCAGGTGTCCCATCTGCCACCTCTCAAGCTCCTGCCGAGAAGAGTCAAGACTAAGTGGCCCCCATACACACCTGGAATCTTCCAGGCCAAATTCCAAACAGAACTGACCAACAAGTACTTCTTCCAGGACTGGAGGGTTCAGCCCCAAGCGCACTATGGAAGCAATGAAAAACCCCTGGTAGGAACTTAAAAAACGAAACAAAACTTGGTTTTGTTTTGCCATGTTCATCTGTGGAGTCCAGAAGAGGGCATCAGATCTCCCAGAACTGGAGTTACAGACATTTGTGAGTGGGCAGCCAGTGCCCTTAACCACTGAGCCATCTCTCCAGCCTCACCACCAGGCTTCATAGTGGGTGACTTTACTCTCTGAGCTAGTATCTCATTTGCCTTGAGAGAGATTTGGAACAAGAATATTTCCCAATCCTGCTTACTAAGCACTATGATTCATTTTTTGTATCTCTTATCACCATCATCATTATTATTATATGCATGTGTGTATGTCTGTGTTTGGGTGTGTGTATGTACATAGATTTCTGGTCCCCTGGAGTTAGAGTTACAGGTGGTTATATAAGCTACTCAACTTGGGTTCTGGGAACCAAACTCATGTCCTTCACAAAAGCAGTCAGTGCTCTTAACCACTGAGCCATCTCTCCAACCCCTGGAGATTCCATTTGTACTGGAGGCAGAACAAAAGCATACTCCTTGTGATTCCTAAACTGACAAATGGCTCAGATTGTCATATGCAGAGGACAGGATTGATTCCTTTGTCAGCTGACTGCTCCGTCCCCTCCCCATGCTCTGGGTTCACAGGTGTCACTTAAGGATCAAGTCAACACCAGGCTCCCCTACATGCCCTTGTTTACTAAAAGAGTGAAGTTGTATATGCCCAAAACCAATGGCGTCAGACAGGAGACAAAAGCCCTTTCAACTGAGCAGGGGAAAATCAGTCAGGTACGAGGGTGGGACCAGTCATTCCCAGGCACAGTACCTTAGTCTGCATTGGCAACTAAGGCCAGTGTCAGTCACGGGGACCAATGTGACTTGGCTCCAGTTTGAATCCATAATCTCTCTGCCAGCTTTCCCAGGTCAGCTCCAGATTTTTGGCCTCAAAAAGAGAACACGTGGAAAAAGAGACTGCCTGAATAACTTCTGTGAAAACACCATGGAAGCCGTGCCTGTTTCCCAGCACTCAGTTGAGACAAGATTGCAAGATTGCTGTAAATTTTCAAGCCAGCTTGGGCTGTAGTGTGAGACCCTGTCACACAGACAAAAAAAAAAAAATCCCAGGCATGATGACACACAACCGTAATCACAGCACTTTGGAGGCGAAGGCAGAGGACCCCCTATACTACTTAATGAGTTTGAGGATAGCCTGGGCTACATGAGACACTGTCTAAAAAAGAAGATAGAAAGAAAAGAAACAAAACCCCCCAAATCTCTAAAACACCTTCCTCACGGTAGATGGGGCTTTCAGACCCACTGAGGCCTTTCTTACTGCCATCCGTGTGATGTCTTGTGATGCTAGCCCGGCAAGAGCGAGTCATTTCTTTGGGAAGGAACACTGTTCTGTATGTCCGAGAAGGGGAAGCGTGTTCCAAAAGATCTGAGAGGAAAGGTCAGTAATTTCTCTAACCAATGAGGTAATGGCAGTGTCCAGGCTTCTCGAGAAAATGCCACTGATGAATTACACTCTGTCCAAGCCACCTGAGTGGCTGCTTCTGCTTTTCCTATCTAAACAGAGGGAGACTGCACACACTGTAAGAGTTACCCTTTTAACACGTACGACTCCATGGTATCCTGCATGGCTCATTGATTAAATCAGTGTGGGGGTGGCACACACTCATTCCAGTGTTTGGGAGTCTGAGGCAGGAGGATTGCTATGATTTTAAGGCCAGCCTGGGCTACATAGTGAAAGCCTGTCTCAAACAAAACAAAATTAAATAAAAAAACTAGGTCTTAGACTAAGAGTAGAGGAGAATGCAGTAGAGGACAAAGGTTCTGAATTTTATTAAGGGGGGGGGGATGTCTCAGAGGGTAGGAGTGCTTTGCTGAACAAGGCTGATGATCTGAGTTTAATCCCTGGAACTCATGTCGGAGGATGAAGCCTGACATCCAAAAGTTGTCCTCTGCTCTGCACGCGTATGTATGGCATGTTCATACCATACCTGGAAACACACACACACACACACACACACACACACACACACACACGCACCATATGCATGCAAATGTATTGTACCACACAATAACAATAAAGATTTCAAAATGTCTTCCAGGTACAGAACGATCCCCCAAACTCAAGAAAGATTCTGATCAAAATCTAGCTACTAGATGACTATCTTGAAAATATGATATTAGGTGTGCTGGGAAGTCAAGGTATAGGAGGTAAGCCTCCTTATCCTTGGAACTGCTCAAGACACACTTTTTTTTTAATTGAGACAGGGTCACTCTACATACCCCTGGCTGTCCTGGAACTCACTATGTAAACTAGACTGGCCTCGAACTCACAGAGATCCACCTGCTTCTATCTTCCAAGTGCTAGGATTAAAGAGTGCACCACCACACTCAATATTTTGGAGTGTATACAAACCAGGACATGAGAAAAGGTATGCCACACTGCCCTCTCGTGATCAGCCTGGGGAATGACAGCCAGCTGCAAGCTAGGCAGGCTACGGGCTAGGGAGAAAGGCACAGAAACCCTCTACATCTTAATTAAGATCGACTAAGTCAGAGCCTACCTGGAGCAGAATCTTTATTCTCTTCCTACACTTCAGCCTCTGCTTGAAAACTCCTCTGTGGTGAGGGGAAAATGATTTCTAAAGCATCTGGGCCTTTTGTCCCTGAGAAACTGAGACCCTTAGAACTGCAGTTAAAACATGAATCAGTATGTTGAGAAGACCCATGAATGGAAGGGCTGTGAGGATTGGGATGGGTTAGGACTTCAATGTGCTCACAGCCACCTGGATCCAAGGCAAGGAGCTGGCTCGGCCTCCTGAAGGAGAGGCTCAGAAGTCCATGTCTAGAGCCTGGATTTCTTGAAGGCATCTTAAAGGCTTTCAAAACAATTTTTTAAATTATATTTTTATTTCCTTTTTGTGTGTGGGCAAGTGGATGCATGTCATGGTGTGTATATGGAGGTGCACATGTGGAGGTGCACATGTGAAGGTGCACATGTGGAGGTGTGCATGTGGAGGTATGAATGTGGAGATGTGTATGTGGAAGTGTCTATATGGAGGTGTCTATATGGAGGTGTGCATGTGGAGGTGTCTATATGGAGGTGTGCATGTGGAGGTGTGCATGTGGAGGTGTCTATATGGAGGTGTCTATGTGGAGGTGTCTATGTGGAGGTGTCTATGTGGAGGTGTCTATGTGGAGGTGTCTATGTGGAGGTGTCTATATGGAGGTGTCTATGTGGAGGTGTGCATGTGGAGGTGTCTATGTGGAGGTGTGCATGTGGAGGTGTGCATGTGGAGGTGTGCATGTGGAGGTGTCTATGTGGAGGTGTGCATATGGAGGTGTCTATATGGAGGTGTCTATGTGGAGGTGTGCATGTGGAGGTGTGCATGTGGAGGTGTCTATATGGAGGTGTGCATATGGATGTGTGCATGTGGAGGTGTCTATATGGAGGTGTGCATGTGGAGGTGTGCATGTGGAAGTGTGCTTGTGGAGGTGTGCATGTGGAGGTGTCTATGTGGAGGTGTGCATGTGGAGGTGTCTATGTGGAGGTGTGCATGTGGAGGTGTGCATGTGGAGGTGTCTATATGGAGGTGTGCATGTGGAGGTGTGCATGTGGAGGTGTCTATATGGAGGTGTCTATGTGGAGGTGTCTATGTGGAGGTGTCTATGTGGAGGTGTCTATATGGAGGTGTCTATGTGGAGGTGTCTATGTGGAGGTGTCTATGTGGAGGTGTCTATATGGAGGTGTGCATGTGGAGGTGTCTATGTGGAGGTGTGCATGTGGAGGTGTGCATGTGGAGGTGTGCATGTGGAGGTGTGCATGTGGAGGTGTCTATGTGGAGGTGTGCATATGGAGGTGTCTATATGGAGGTGTCTATGTGGAGGTGTGCATGTGGAGGTGTGCATGTGGAGGTGTCTATATGGAGGTGTGCATATGGATGTGTGCATGTGGAGGTGTGCATGTGGAAGTGTGCTTGTGGAGGTGTGCATGTGGAGGTGTCTATGTGGAGGTGTGCATGTGGAGGTGTCTATGTGGAGGTGTGCATGTGGAGGTGTGCATGTGGAGGTGTCTATATGGAGGTGTGCATGTGGAGGTGTGCATGTGGAGGTGTCTATATGGAGGTGTCTATATGGAGGTGTCTATGTGGAGGTGTGCATGTGGAGGTGTCTATGTGGAGGTGTCTATGTGGAGGTGTGCATGTGGAGGTGTCCATATGGAGGTGTCTATGTGGAGGTGTGCATGTGGAGGTGTGCATGTGGAGGTGTGCATGTAGAGGTGTGCATGTAGAGGTGTGCTTGTGGAGGTGTGCATATGGATGTGTGCATGTGGAGGTGTCTATATGGAGGTGTGCATGTGGAGGTGTGCATGTGGAAGTGTGCTTGTGGAGGTGTGCATGTGGAGGTGTCTATGTGGAGGTGTGCATGTGGAGGTGTCCATATGGAGGTGTCTATGTGGAGGTGTGCATGTGGAGGTGTGCATGTGGAGGTGTCTATGTGGAGGTGTGCATGTGGAGGTGTCTATATGGAGGTGTGCATGTGGAGGTGTGCATGTGGAGGTGTCTATATGGAGGTGTCTATATGGAGGTGTCCATGTGGAGGTGTGCATGTGGAAGTGTCTATGTGGAGGTGTGCATATGGATGTGTGCATGTGGAGGTGTCCATATGGAGGTGTCTATGTGGAGGTGTGCATGTAGAGGTGTGCTTGTGGAGGTGTGCATATGGATGTGTGCATGTGGAGGTGTCTATATGGAGGTGTGCATGTGGAGGTGTGCATGTGGAAGTGTGCTTGTGGAGGTGTGCATGTGGAGGTGTCTATGTGGAGGTGTGCATGTGGAGGTGTCCATATGGAGGTGTCTATGTGGAGGTGTGCATGTGGAGGTGTGCATGTGGAGGTGTCTATGTGGAGGTGTGCATGTGGAGGTGTCTATATGGAGGTGTGCATGTGGAGGTGTGCATGTGGAGATGGAACGCTGGCAATTTTTTTTTTGGTTTTTCAAGACAGGGTTTCTCTGTGGCTTTGGAGGCTGTCATGGAACTAGCTCTTGTAGACCAGGCTGGCCCCGAACTCACAGAGATCCGCCTGCCTCTGCCCCCCGAGTGCTGGGATTAAAGGCGTGCACCACCAAAGCCCGGCTAACACTGGCAATTTCTATAAACTAGACTGTAGACTTTATTTAGACTCACCAGCTTCTCTATTAATGACCCGTTTTGACTGGTTTTGTTTTGCTTATTGTTTAAGACAGGGTTTCATGTAGCCCCAGACTGACCTCCAAGCCCAAGGAAACCATGGACCTCAGGTCCTCCTGCCTACACCTCCCAAGCGATGGGATTCCAGGCTTGTAAAGTCTCTGGTTTATATGGTGCTGGGGACTGGACACGGCACTCTACCAACTGAGCTACATCCCTTACTCCTCAGCTTTTCAGAGGACCAGATGAGCAAGAGAGGCTTAGAGAAGAAAAACAGTGGCTTCTGGCCCCCGTGGCCACACTCTAACTTATAGAGTTTTCCATTCACAAATGTGGATTATATATTTAATCAATTCCTTTCTTTCTTTCTTTTCTCTTCTTTTCTTTTTTCTCTCTTTCTCTCTTTCTTCTTTTTCCTTCCTTTCTTCTTTTCCTTTCTTTCTTTCTTTTGAGACTAACTCTTATGTAGCCCAGGATGGCCTCCGGCTCACTATGAGGCCAAGCATGACCTCAGTCTCCTTCCCAACCCTCCTGCCTCAGCCTCCTGAATATTGGGGTGCCAGGAGACTGCTGGCTATGGGAATTTACAGGTAAATCTTCTTCACAAGAGACAGAACCCCTGAGGACAGCACAGCTGCTGTGTGAAGCCTGAACTAACTTCCTGTCAGGGCCAGGCTTGGGGAAGGGCCCTCACTCATTCCCTGGAGGTAGTGCTAACTTTTTTTTTAATGACAGGGTACTGAAACTGGCTTTGAACTCTTGATCTTCCTGCCTTCATCTCCCAAATTCTGGATTACAAACACGTCACCATGCCCAGCTTCTGTCTTCAATGTTTTTTTTAAAATAATCTTTTTATTGAATCTTTGGGAACTTCACACCATGTACCCCAATCCCACTCATTTCCCAGTCCTTCCATATCTATACTCCAACCTTGTAACCTATCCCTGAAAGATAATAAAAAATTAAAATTAAAAAACAAAATGAAGCACTCATTTGTATTGTTATATTATTAAATAAAGCTCAGAAGTCAGATATTGAGGTAAGAACTCATAAATCCAAACAACAACAGAGGAACAATCAGCTGACCTGGCCCCTCCACATTTGCAAATCGAAGAGATCACTACCTTTCCCTTCCCTACTACTTCCTGTGTCCTCCTATCTCAGTCCTCCAAAACCTCTGTGGCTAATTCTGGTCAGCTGAACATTGACTTTACTCTCTAATTCAAGGTTTAACTTTATTGGCAGTCTTGGAGTATCAGTGAGAATAAATCTCCTGTAACATTTCCCCCTTTTTGTCTAAATAAAAAGAAAAGGTTTTAACCCTAACACAGTAATACTGTATATAATAAGAACAATTATCAGGTATTGTCTAAATAAAAAGGGAAGGCTTAAACTTAACCAAGTAAAACTGTACAATAAAAACAATTATCA